TATGTATTTACACGAATTACTCACAAATTACATCACAAATCACGTGATTTGAATTGCGGAATTGCGGATTACTATGCATAATTCAATTCAAAAATCCGCAATATTGCAGATTTGAAAAAACAATTGCAGTACCATTCTTACTACAAATATATTCAAGGGGTACTTATCTCTTTCAAGTATCTGTGAATAATTACAACTCAATAAGTGATGATGATTATAATAATCTATTAATTTCCTCCGCTCTTTTATAAGATCGCATTCTCGTTCTTGCATGGGATATAGAGACATATAATTCACGAAAAACTGGCAAGATGCCTAACTCAAAATACGATGAAGATAAAGTGTTTATGATTTGCATGACAGTTAATTGGAAAGATGATCCTGAACTGTTAAAGCGAATCTGTCTTGTCAATGTTTAAACAGCACCAGATCCACAGTGGATTACAATTGTGTGTAGATCCTAGACTAATTTACTAAAAGCATTCGCGTTATGTTAGAGACATTTAGCTCTAGATATACAAATAGGCTTCAATGATTCACAATATGACTGGAAATTTATTGTAGAGAAAGCTAATAAATTAGGGATTCTCAAATGGATGTTCAACTATATGTCATTCAAGTCATCGAGCCTGGAAAAAATTATAAAATAGGAATATCAATATAATATGATAAAAGTAAATGATAGAAAATTCTATTCGAAGCATCTTAAAATTCCCAGCTGTATAGCTATTGATGTCTGGCCCTATTTTATGGGATTTTCTTCTAAAAAAGAAAAAAGTAGTCTCACATATTACTTAAAGGAGTGTAACTTTGACAACAAAGTGGATTTGCCTATTCACTGCATGAACAAATATTATGAGATGGCATTGAAGGAAACAAATGCCACAATGGCTGAGCAGATGCGTAAAATAGCTGAGTTTTATATCATTAATGCTTTTAGTTGCCAGCAGTTAATAATTAAGCGCAATATAATTAATGAGTACAAGACGGTTGCTAATATAGCATTTATATCATTATTCAATATGCATTATTTTGCAATAGGAATGAAAGTGAGCAATCTTTTAAGTGTTAGTACATGGCGGAAAGGAATTTTAACCAGTACAATTTTAGAGAAAATGGAGATAGAGTCATTTTTGGATACCTATGTCTTCCCATCAATAAAGAGGCTTAAAAATAAATGTCCTGTAACTGGCTTAGACTTTGTGTCATTATATCTGAGTCTTATTATGACTTACAACCTCTCACCCGATAAAATAATTTTATCTCGAAAACATGCTGAGTCTCTGAGAGGTGGTGGCAAAAGGCTCCATAAAATTAATTTCAAATTCAATGATAATGATGTTTTTGCATGATCTATAGAACATACTAACATTTCTAAAGAAAAAGGTCTCTAATCTATTATATTGGAATATTTATCTAGCAGACGGAATGAGATAAAGAAATGCCTTGCCCCTTTGAAAAAAAGGAAGGAAAACATAGAACTGGTAATAGGTTTCATAAGTAAAGATTTGTTATTACTAGAAGCTATTGAGCATGTTTTAGCAAAAGTGAAAGAGAAAAAACGTGCCAGCCTTAACAAAAATCTATACTATTTTATTAATAAAGAAAAACATGATTTCATGGCAGAATAAGTTTTAGTTTATTTTGATTATTCTTGCTTAGATGCAGAACAAAATGCTCTTAAGATATTTATGAATACATTTTATGGTATGGTTGGAGATAGCAAGTCTCCTTTCTTCTTATGTGAACTTGCTGGAGGTGTCACTTTGGCCGGACAGAGAAATATCAAACTCATTGCGGATTTTGTCAAGAGAAAGGGATTTGGGATAAAATATGGAAACACTGATTTCTTGTATTTAATCTGTCCAGAAGAATGCTTCCAGAAGTATGATGAGGCTTATGTTAACGGTAATGAGATCTCAAAAATAAATTAAAAATTCGGGTAAGAAGATTAAAATTTTATTATATTAGATAATTTTTTTGGCAAAAAAAAAAAAATAAATCATTAACCAGCTAAAATTTCAATTAAAAATTGAATTTTATCTTATATAAATAATATCACAATGATATTTTATCAAAAACTAATTTTACAAGTTAAATGAATCAGAATTTAGGTTGATTTTTGAAAAATAAAAGTCAAATGAATAATATTGCAAGAATATTTTATCATAAAGTATAATGAGTAAAACTAGTTATATAAATAATATCACAAGGATATTTTGTCAAAAAAATAATTTTTCAAGTCAAATGAGTTAGAATTTTAGGTGTGATTTTTGAAAAATAGGAAGTTGAATAAATAATATTACAAGAATATTTTGCCAAAAAGGTATAACAAAATCAAATGAATCAGAACTGTATTAATTAGATATATATAAATATACAATTTTTTAATTGACATTAGGAAGTAACAATTTCTTTAAAAAAAATAATTAATTATTATTTTAAATACATTTTTATTGTACTTTTATACAATTAATATAATTTTTACACGTATAATTAATTATATTAATTTGATTTTTACATTATATAATCTTCTCTTTCTGCTAACTAACTTTATTTTTTTTTATAATAGAAATAAAACTAAATAAAGAAAGTACAATAAATACAACTATCAAAGAATCAAAATAAGCATAATAAATATAATAAGTATAATCCATATTAAAAAACGCCTCTGTGGCTTTAGAAATGCCTTTTTACTAAGAAAAACATAATAAAAAATGCCTTCGCATCTTCGGAGACATTATTTTACTTAGAAAATATAGTAAAAAACACCTTTGCAGCTTCAGAGATGCTATTTTATTAAGAAATCTAGTAAAAAAATGCTTCTGCAGCTTTAGAAACATTTTTTTACTAATAAAATTATTACAAAGCTGAGTTAGCGGTTATTACTAGATTTTCTTAGTAAAATCGAAGCCATAATGGTAGTTATTACAGTGAACTCTTGATATAATGAATTTTAGGATCTGGATATTAACTTCGTTATAAGCTTATAACGAATTCTAGGATCTGGATATCAACTTCATTATAAGCTTATAACGAATTTTTTAAAGAATTTAATTGGTTAGTTCACTATAGTAAAGTAATTTTAATATATTTGATTTAAAAATTCGCTATATCAAGGGTTCGCTATATCAAGATTTGACTGTATTCACAGCTTAAAATATTATGTTAGACTTAATTAACATGTATTATAATATCAAAAAGAGAATTTTCTTTATTTCTTTCAACCATTCATATTATAGCTATTTATCCATTTGTAAGCTTTTGGAAATTTTGATTGGAGGTAATTCCTAAAGAAATGAAATATTTTGTTATTATTTTTTTTTTTTTATAATCATTAAAAAAAAGCACACTAAACTTATTTTTGTAAAATAATTCAGATTCTTGAAGCCTTGTGTTAGAATCAGATTATAAGTAAGCCCTAATAAATAAATTTGTTAGTAATTTTTTTTTGATTTTATAAAACTTACTTAAAACTTACTTTGTAGGATAGTGCAGTGATGTGCATTTTATGCTTCCAATGGTAAAAAATTTGATTGGAAGCTTCCAATCCAAATAATTTCATTAATAAATTATGCTTCCAAACCTTCCAAAAGTGCTTCCAAAGGTGCTTCCAATCTTCCAAGAGCACATCACTGGGATAGTGTATAATATTAAGAGATAAATTCTAATAGAATAATTCGTAAGTTATTTGTTTTTATTTTAATTTGTTTAAAAAATTGAAATATACTAACTTATCTTTGTAGACTAATTCGGATTCTGAAGCATTAAGTCAGAAGTAAGTTCTTTTAGTTAGTAATTTTTTTTTAAAAAAAAAATAACAAAATTAACTTATCTTCGTAGACCGATCCAGTATCTATAAACTTGGAACTTTAGATTGAAATAAGTTTTAATAAAATAAAATATTTTGTTTAGTTATTTATAATCATAAAAAAAGACTAATACTAATTTACCTTTGTAGAAACTGTCTAAAACCCTGAATCTTAGATCAGGGTAAGCCATATTGAAGAAATTTGTTAGTATATATTGATATATATTTTATTTTAAAAATAAAACTATTATTACTTATTTTTTGTAGGACTGATCCAGAATCTGTAACTTAGATCGGAGGTAAGTTCTAATAGAATATTTTTTTTATTTTCTAATAAATTAACTTATATTATTTATCTTAGCAGACTGATCTAAAATCTTAAAATTGAATTCTTGGATCAAAGGTAACCTAATAATAATTTTTCTAATATTATATTTTTATTTAAAAATATTTTTATAATACTAATACTTGGCATTTAACATCATCTTTTTTTAGTTAATAATTTTTATAAATATATTTTAATATATGGGAGGTGGTCAGTAGAAAAGGGGGAAATCTGAAAATTTTAGTAATTTTAGTTACTAAGCTAATTTTGTT